CATACCACTCACATGACAGCTGGACTTGGTCCGGTCATCATTGTCATCAAACATCTCAAGTCGAACATTTGCTACCGGTACCGCCTTGGAGCGACACATTAGCCACATACGTGACAGGTGTCACTGCGAGACTCTGCTTGGCATCAGTTCTTCAGCGGGAAAGGGCCCTAAAAAATATCTAACCACACGGGCTGACTAGCATGGCCGCCCCTACCGCTAAGCTGGTGGGCAGGCCATATCGGAACAAACCTATACTCGTAAGAAGGTGATCAAACCAAAGAGCACTGTGTCAGCGAAATGTTGGCGTGTGCGAGTGAGATGCGAACAGCATTACCGTCATGAAGGCTGCTGGAATCGGGGGGGGGGGGGGGGGGGCAGTAGGTGGTGGGGAAGAGGAGACAGTTCAAGGAAGAGCATATATTTGCCCGTCCCCCCCAAAAAAAATGTGAGGCCCTTTCCTACACTAAAGACATTCCAGTTTGCCGCAGAAAAAGCATAATTGCTACCAGGGAAGCCCTCATGACTGAGCTGGAGAATACTGAATCGGGCTCAGAAAGAACGTTTGCTTTACCAGGAGATCCATTTTCTAGATCGTGAGGTTACACTTGCAAATAAGGCAGCTAATGCCTTAAAGCAGACTGGCCAAATGTTGTACTAAGACAGCCCATTTGCTGGCTGGGGCTTTATAGCCTGGGGCAAAATAGGCGCCTAATAGTTTATACCCTGTTATAAACTAGAAGGCGCGTATTTTGGTTTAGGAGGCAAACATTACTTTTCAAGGGAGTCCTATTCTGGAACAGTAGACCCTTTTACATATCAGATGGTCCCGGTTCCAGATCTGGATGCCTGTCTTGGGACATTGACCCCCTTGGCCAGATTTGGAAGCCCGTTTCGTGATACATAATTATCCTGTTTTGGATAATGATGTCCATCTGTGCAACGGGAGGCCGTCGTCTGTAACAGGATGCTTTGTTTTAGGTAAGCCGACCCTCTACTGGATATAATTAGGACATCATTCTGGCTGTTTTAACCGTGTGCGTCTGTTGACTTGAACGTAACACATGTCGCAGTTTGGTAAGGGGCCCACGCCCTCGCTGCTCCCCCTCCATGAATACGATACCCGGCAGGAGGCCTCATTGTGAGAAGGCCGCCTGGAAAATCCTTCCACCAACTCAAAACCCGTGGCGCCGTCCCTGCCTAGAATTTCTGCGTGGTCACCGTTAAGAGAGCCTGCTGCACTTAAAAAAACACATTTCACCAAAGAGCGCGAACGATCCTAACGGGCGTGCTCCCCTTTAGAAAGGTGGCAAACCATAGCATACCAGCCAGCTGTAGCGCAATGAGGGCGCTGACTTGGAGATAGGAGACCACGAAGCTGCTGTCAGTATACGTAATCAAACCCGTTCTCGGGGGTGACAGACCATCTGCGGAGCTGCCAGTACACGGTCACTCAGCAGGCTGGCCAGTACCAGCCACTCAGCACGGCCTGACTGCCAGTACACGGGCACTCAGCAGGGCCTGGCTGCCAGTACACGGCCACTCAGCAGGGCCCAGCTGCCAGTACATGGCCACTCAGCAGGGCCTGGCTGCCAGTACACGGCCACTCAGCAGGGCCTGACTGCCAGTACACGGGCACTCAGCAGGGCCTGGTTGCCAGTACACTGCCACTCATCGGGGCCTTGTCAGCAGTACACGATCACCCAGTGGGGCCTCACTGTCGTGCACGGCCACTCATATGGGCTTCGCTGTACTGCATTCCATGTGTTACTATGTATATTTGCTACGGTGCGTAGGTCGGAGACCACGGGATGGATTATGCACTATTGATCCGCACGATAACCTCTGTAAATTATATGCAAGCGTTCCGCCGTGTGTGTGTATGGAGGGGGAGGGGGAGGGGGTGGCTGCGTAACGGAAGGAAATGATAGCAGTCATGAATGGCGGCTTGGCTATATCACTGCCCCGCACTCTGGACACTGGAATAGGCGGGAAGTCAATATCATAAGTACCCATAGCACTTTTCCGCTAACTTGCCATGAGCATGTTTACGTACAGCACATATTTTCGAGCTGTGGACCTGGGGTCAAGTATCACAAACACATAAGAAATAGAGCAAGGCGTAAAATGCTTATCGCGTTGAGCCGCGCTGTACTATTATCATGCTGTGCATCTTGCCAGAGCGTGCAGCGCCAGCACCTCATTGCAGCGGCGGTGAACCTCTCACTGGAGCGTCGCTATTTCCATCACTGGGACTGTCGTACGTCTGGCACAGAAGAGGCCGGGTGTCTGGCACAGAAGCGGCCGCGTGTCCGGCACTGGAGCAATCGTCCAGCACTAGCGCCGCCGTGTTTCCGGCACAGGAGAGGATGCATATCCGGCGCAGGAGCGGCCGTCCAGCACTAGGGCCGCCGTCTTTCCAGCACAGGAGAGGCCGCGTGCCCGGCACTGGAGCAATCGCAAAGTCTTCTGAAACGACCCAACTTGCTATTTGAGGTAGCGACTATGCCGATTGGCCCTTTGCTCACCACTATAAAAATAGTGGTTTTCATCTGCTCTGCCTTTTTCGTGTGCGAGTTCCGTTACAAAACATGAATTGGCCGAAATTATTATGCAGTAAATGATACGAGAGCTTAAAGCATAGGTAAGACAGTAGTATTAGCCTTGTTGCTCGGCGAAAAACCAGGAGAATGGAGATATAGTTGGGTTGATATTTCGGCCACATGCCTTTATGAAAACAATAGCAGACGTGAATTTACTTCGAGTGAACACAACTTATGGAAACAATAGCAGAAGTGAATTCACTTCCTCTATTGTTTCGATAAAGGCATGTTGCCCAAACATCTATCCAACTACATTTCCATTCTCCTGGTTTTTATCCGAGGAAAGAGGTTAATATTGCTGTCTTATCTATGTGAACAACGTTCCCCGCTAATGCACTGAACAACTTACGTTATAGAGAACTTAAGACACTCCATTCAATAAACAGCATTTACAATATAACAGCTTTTTCACACAAAGCGAACAAAACGTCATTTTATGACGCTTTCTTCTTATTTTGATTTTTCTTCTCCTGATTTCTCACCTGGTGCCGTGTACCATAATGGCCCTTTGAAGGCTAGTAAAGCCCATTTTACATTGCATTTCCAGAGGTTAGGTTCCGCCGCTCGCTCTAAATCGATCGGGTTTGTACAGCGTCGAAATGTGCCTGGTGTCATGGGTCACAATAAGTACACATGATGCATCTTACCATGATCTTTGACCATGAGATTTATTAGTTCTAAGTATGACAAATGTGGATATCACGAGCACCAATATGATACCCGTTTTGTGATGTTCATACACGAAGCAAATAAATGTAAGAATGTTCCGTTCTTATGACCTTTAACTTTACCCTTGAAAGCTAGTTTTTCAATTGTGTTAAAGCAGACATCATTGGCATTGATATGATCCCTTGTTGTGGCATGCATTAAGCCAACTCATAAACGCCATGATATCAGGTTTTTGTGAACATGATCTTTGACATAAGACAAGACAAGAGTTGGTCTTCCTTGTGTGAGGAAAACGAACATCCTGAACATGCATGTGATTCGCATTTTGTGGTATCTAAAACGAAAACAATGAATGCCGGATTGCTGCATTTTTGTGACGTTAACAAGTCACCTCCAAATTTTGCATTTCGATTCGTGACGTAAGCGAACGTTCTAAGAATCGACGTGATACCTGTTTCGGGGTATTTATGAATTCAACAAATAAGTACCAGGGTACCGTGTTTTCTATCACCTTAACGTTTCCGCTGAGAGTTAGTTTTTACAGGTATGACGAAAACAGACATGATGTCAATCAATATGACATGACTTTCGCTTCAGTTCCTAATAAAACGAACGCATGCCAGGGTAGCGCTTTTGTTATGACCTTGACTTTTCATCTTGAGAGAGTTCGTTTTTGTCAAGTGTGACGAAAGCAGATATCACGAGGGCCACCCTAAAGACCTCTTTTGTTCTATTTAAAAAGTGAACGTCTAAATACCAGGGTACCACCTTTTTGTGACTGAAACCTTTAACTACAATAGTAATTCAGTATTAGGACACGAAGACGATTATCTTTATAAGTGAGTGTTGCCTAAGTGATAAGTGATAATTGTCTTCGTGTCCTAGCGCCTTAGAGTTGAGAAGAGGCTGCAAGAGTTGCAAGTCAATTGCAGAGTATCTTTATAAGTGACCAATCTGCAATGCCAACTGCGGCCAGTAGCATTATCGATGCCGCAGGTAAATTTTCGCTGCCGATACTTACCAAACTACTTGCGTATTGAAAGGGTCATGGTGTCGATTGCCCGCGTTGTCCGCCGTTCCTGCCGGGGTGAAAGGCAGGCGACGCCATATAGCATCAACAGCTGAGTACATCGTAAAGCCCCAACGAAACACACGGAGAGGTAATGGCGTGCAATGACTTCCAAATTTTCCTGAATTTCGCGACAACGAGTCATTCCCGAGCAGCTTACAGCACAGCGAACACCCCATCCCACCATGCACCTGAGAACACCCTCTCCAAATGAAGCACAGATCGTGTGAAGGCCGAGCTGCTGACACACCACCCCTGCAGCTGACCAAGACATAGCTGGCTTCGAAGATACGTGATTTGTATATGCAAATCATGACCTTGGCTGACTGTCGTAAAACAAATCGGATGGGTTCCCTGCACCCCCGGCAGCCCCGAGGGAGACCGCCCGCACGGGCGCACCCAGCGCCGCGGAAACCGGGGTGCCCACAGCAGGACGGGGGCGCGGACCCGTGTGCCAGGCGGCAACGGCTCTGGCATCCTGGTGGCAACAGGGGTGTTAGTGAAAACAGGGCCTACATGGCATCCGTTTCACGTCTCGCCACCACACGGCCTTCCACGCAGCCCGGATGTGTCCTGGAGCCGCGGCCGGCGACGGTGGCGCCCTCACATACTCTCAGGATTCCGCAACGTAACTAGCCGGTTTCGGAGAGCCGCTGGCTGTGTTCATGGGTACAGGGCACATGTTGGGTTAGTCGCCAGTCGCGCGACTCCCCTTGGGCCGGAATGACGGTATGGGTGTTACTCCTGCTGACATGCGTGGCGGCGGCGGGCGCACTGAAGGCGCCTGAAAGGTAAGTCGATGCTGTAGACTGCTGAATGTGAATTGCTGATGTAAATGAAAGATGCACGCAAAGATAGCAAACGTAGTGTAATGGCCATGCAGCCAACTGAACGCTGTCTAACAAATGTAGGCAACCAAACATCTTAGATGAGGAGAGAGGAAAGGAGGGGAGAGGAGAGGAGAGGAGGTGCGACGCATAGATGTTACCGGGATTAGGTGTATTTGATCAGTGGAGGGAGAATGACCCCGCAGAGAAGTGAGTAACAGAAACCTTGCATATGACTTCACAACGTCGTACACCTGAATATTTGCGAACGCGTAACCCCTCCTTATCGTGTTCGTGAAGCTGATGATGTCTAATTATATGTGCCATCATGCCTATTCTCAGTTCGATACAGCTTTTTTACCAAGTGTTAGAGGGACTTTGTATGATGTGGACAAAAACTAAGTGATCTTGAGCGCCTGTACATGTATAATACACTATTTCTGACCACAAAAATGCCTTACACTGGTGACATAGGCTCAGTCAGTACTTAAAATGCTCTCATTCGGATCTTTTATAAATTTACTTAAGTTTACCTTTGATGACCTCTAGGTCAACCTAAAAGGATATCTTTGTTAGGAATCCTTCATCCCACAGCTGCATGTAATACACCAACTTAGAAGCACATCGTGAAGAAAGTATTGCTCTTGTAGGTTACTGGTACAGCAATTTTAAACGGTGACCTGATCTGTCCTGATCCATGTGGTGGAAAAGGAATGGTCGGAATGGGCTCTCCGCAGTCTCAACGAATTTTTGGGCCTTCAATATCCGTCTCGACGTGTTACCACAGGTTTTAACTGCATCTATCTGAACGACCGCTTCAGACCTTTCGTGGCCGTTGGTGACCTAACATTTGACCTGAGACCAAAACCATGGTGTGCATTCTTCATGATTTGACGAGACATTAAAAACGGTATCTTTCTTTTTCTCGTACATCACCTGAAAGTGGAAGATGCCAGAGGGGGGTCAACATGCTCCCCGGGTGGGGTGCGGTTGCCTCACACCTGGCGGGGCAAAAAATTGTACGTGAAAGTGACAGAAATCGTCATTTTGTGCATGTTGCTTGCCTGAACGAACTAAAAAGACTTCAACTACGCTCGTGGCGACCATGAACATGGTTGCCGTGAGACATCAGGATTTTATAACGCAGAACATTACCTTTCTGTTATGAAATGAAAGCAAGGTATCAATTCTAGAACCACTTGAAGTTCAAATAATCTTGGTCTCCCAGCGTTAATTATATATCAGCGCTGCTAAACAGACAATCTCGAATAGCCCATCTAGCAAAACTTGGAGGTAGAGCCGCGTGTTGGTACGGCCTCCGTACAGCCACAGATTGGGTTCAGTCCCGGGCTGGGTGCGGTTGGATAGAGCCACAGTTTTGGCATGGGTTGGGTAGTCACAGGTTGAGCAGAGTCGTGGGCTGGGTATGGGATAGATGGAGTCACAGGTAGCGTGCGGTTGGGCAGAGTCATGGGCGGGTTGAGTCACAGGTTGGGTAGTCATGGGTTGAGTATAGGTTTGGCAAAGCCACCGGCTCCGTGAAGTGACGGGTTGCGCACGTTTGGGTAGAGTCACGGTTTGGGTGAACCCACGGGCACCCGTATGGATTGAGTGACACCATGGATCGGGAAGATATTTTGCGACATTACGGACATGGCTATTTTAAGGAATGTTTCAAGTCACTGGCTGTGTTTCGGTGCGCACCTGTGAGCGTTTTGAGTTTGGAGCCTTTGGAACTTAACCTTTGTAACATAATGGGTGTGTTGAATTTGTGCATTTTGTGAATTTTCATCATAATGGGTGTATTGTGAACAAAAATGTTACGTACGTACGGCTGAGTATGGCTGATGGCTGTATCAACGTGTGGCTGGGCATGTTTGAATCATCATGACCGCATTCACGTGTGATTTGAATGGCTCAGGAAAAATCGCAATTAAAAGCACGCACTCTTTTAATATCTTTCATTTTCGTATAAAAACATGAAAATATAGTAAATGTGCGGGGAACGGGAAGACGGTGACGTGGCAACAGGTGGTTAAGACTGATTGGAGAGCTTGGCTGCAGGTGCAGTCAAGACACCACGGGTAATCGGTGGATTTGAGGGGCAAATATAGCCCGTGAAGACCTCTATTTGGGAGGAAAATTGCACAACAGGTAACCGGCGGTTAGCCGCCGGCGACCTTGGGGCTCGCACTCATCCCAGCGCGTGCGACCCCACAACGACCTTCGTGCGACCCCACAGCGACCGTGCACGCGGATGCTGCTTAGAGCGATGTGGTAGTGTGGTAAAGGCAAAATAACGTTACGAAAAAAACAAACAAGAAAACCCTTTGGAGCTAAAAGGAAAGAAAGGTGTGACGAACTTTTTCCATCAATTTCGGATCGCTCTCTTTGCCATTATTTAAGTTAGGCTGTTATATTTCCGAATGCTTGAATCGGCCATAAGTCAAGCATAAGTCGTTCTGAAGACCACCACATTCGAGCATGTAGAAATGTATCACCCATGGTGGGCTGCGGCGTGCCGACGCCGAACAACGCCACCCGCAGCACGTGCTTGCGGTGCTGGTGGCTCCGCGCATGCGTGAGCCCGTTAAAAGCGTATGCTCCAGGAATCGGAGCACCTCGCACCTTGCTCCCTGCAGGTAATGGCAAAGCGGGAAAAGACTTGCGGGGCTGATGGCCAAGTGTGCCCGTAACTTTTTTAGTTCGGTCTTGATTCGAAAGGTGTGCGCTCTTGATCAGGTTGATGCCTAAGTCCATAATGTTACCACCAGGAACTAAGGGCTGGTGCAGAAGTGGCGATTATGTTGGTGATAGACGTATGTTTGAGGCTATATATGTTTGCTCGAAAAAAATATTGAATAAGCACACGTTTACGAAGACTTTTGCGCCTGTCGTACCAACGATGATGTCATTTAAAGTATCAGCGTCTACATAGCGTGGGGTCAGCTAATATACCAGCCGTCGCATGACTTCTTTGTCAACAGCGTATAGTGTGCCGCTTCTGATGTGGTATTAGTCACATCAGTCCTTGGCAGACTGTGTAATGGTGCGCTGCTTCTGATGTACTAACAGTCACTTCAGTCGCATGCCAGCAGTGTAGTAGTTTGCTGCTTCTTATGTACCAGAAGGCACATCAGTCCATGCCAACAGTATAATAATGTGCTGCTTCTGATGTACTAGCAGCCACTTAGGTCCGTTACAAAGTGTTTTGGTGTGCTGCTTCTGGTGTAGCAGAAGACACCTCAGTCCCAAGCCAATTGTTAAAGAGTGTGCTGCCTCTGATGTGCCAGCAGTCGCATCAGTCCATTGTAGACGGTGTAATAATGCGCTGCTTCAGATGCACCAGAAGGCACATCAGTCTCTTGTCAACGATGTAATAGTTTGTTACTTCCGTTATACCAGCAGTGGCATCAGTCTGTTAAGGAACGGCGTTACAGTGCGCTACTTCTGATGCACGAGCTGCACTAGCAGAGCAAAAGACACGATGTCGCAGTGTGCTACGTCTGGTGCAGCTGCCGTAAAAAGGGCGGACAGTGGCAATGCTTGGTGCTGTGTGAAGTAACAGTGTTCGTTCGTTCCCAATGCGTCGCACTTGTTTATCTAGCCTCTCCGGTAGTGGTAGCATAGTTCAAAGACCTTGGATGACCTCAAATGTCCTTGTATGTCCTCATATGACCTTCGTGACCTCATCATGCAGTATAATGATATCAGAACATGTTTTCAATTAAGTATTGAAATGCTGTGTTCAAAATTCCGCTGTGAAAATGCCTGTTTTGAGCTTACCAAGAGTTTTTGCGGAGTTTAGCCATAGAGATAGGTTATAACCTGGGTCAAGGTTATGTGCTTTAAGTCATATGATAATTGTTTTTGTTAACCAGTACTCTTTTTTCCACAAAAAGCACCACAGATAAGATAGTAGTAATAGCCTTATTCCTCGGAGAAAAAAGCTGGGGAATGGAGATGTAGATGGGTTGGTATTTCGTTTAGGTCTGACATTTGTGCAAACTCTAGCCAAAAATATAGCCATGCTCACGGGAAAATGACAACACAGAAAATGTGTCAAAACTAAAGTTCATGTCTTTACAATTCTGTAAAGTCCTTGTGTGCCGTTACTGTAGTAATTTCTGCGCATAAAAACAACAAAATGATGAGTTCTTAGAAGTTCATGACACTGGCCATACATAGCAATGCTCTGCGTTTTCCTCACGTCGGTCATGTAAGGTCATAAGTGGGTTGCAGCCACCTAATACTCCGGCAGGTCCAGGTCCAGGCCGTTTAAGCATTTCGTTGAGGAGATTGCACCGATTTAAGCCCGCCGCCCCAGACACCTGACGAAGCGCATGACGTCTGGCGTTCAGGGCATACTGCTTCTCCGGGTGTGGGAGTGACAAAAAGAGATGGAAAGAGTCCATGTTTTCAGATAAATGTGCTCAATGCTTAGCCGCAGGGTTAATGCTAAGCTTCCACGTGAAATCTCAGCTTGTTGCAGTGCTCCTGCCCTACCCCTGGCCTCGCCCAGCCCCTATCCCTGTTCCTGTATGAGTCAACGTCCCTTGCCCTCCCCTGCCCCTGCCCCGGTCTCTGGCTCTTCTGTCCTTCATCTGCCCTCGTTGTTACAGTCATGCCGGTACCGACGGACACATCGAATTCAATCGCACTTTGGAGTATCGCGTGACCGTTGGCGTCTCGGCCTCGATCAGTTGTACTGCAAGCTGCCATGGACTACACACGGCAGTGTGATTTTGTATTGAGGCGCCATAGTACAAGGCCGAGGATGTTGTGCGCTTTCGGCAACATCATTTGGTGATCTTGCCATCTGAGGAGTTCGCGATAACATCGCATAACATTCGGAATAGCTTGAGCATGCTGTTTAGACGGCCGCCAGCGCCAGCCTGAGCAGTGCATCTGCAGCTTATCCTGCTGTGCACTCTTTCCAATGTAATCAATCCAGTCTGGTCGTTTGTGCTCCGATCCTGATTGCGACTGTCACCGATGCAGCGAACCGTGCGGAAAATCTCGGCTTTCGGGCGATGAAGTGCCGGTTGCTATGCAGACGGTGCTTCCAGCGTGTAAACACTGACGGACAAATCTGAATTGAGGTTGAACAGGGAGCTGTTTGAACTCTGCAAGCTGAGGACAGCACGTCGGTGCGGTAAAGATGATGGTGACCAGGTCTGGAAAAGGAACCGTTTTCTAAAGAAAATCATATAGTCCGTGAGTCGCGATCATTCAAGCAATCTGGTTCCTACAACGCCTTGCCCCTCTAGTTGCAGCTTCGTAAAGGATCTTAGCAATGCGAGCAGAGAGATACCACCAACATCACTGTTTACGGAACAACAGAAAAATGTTGCGTCTGTTATTTATTTGTCATGGTGCTAAGGTGATTTCTCCAGACGTTTCACCTGTCCTAAGCCTCCGCCGGCCGGACTGTGATGCAGGACCTCTCGGGCATCCGACTGAGGTGCAGGACCTCTCGGACATCCGGCTGTGATGCGGGACCTCCCAGACATGCAGTGCGTCTGACCAGTGATGTCATTCCCTTCAACAGTGGCTTCCTCTTCACATCGCCCAAGTTGCTGCAAGCGGGCACCAGCGAACGCTTCTGCGTCACGCTCTTCAACCTGCCCGGGCCGGGGCGGAACGTGACCCTCAGTCTCTCGAGCAAGGCCGGGACACGCCCCTGGTCCACAACAGTGGAGCTGATACCAGACACGGTGGACGGTGAGATTCAAAAGGCCACAAACAGCGGGTATATGCATAGGAGCCACCAGAGAATATCTATGATTAGCATGGCATTGGCAACGCGCGTAGGACAACGCTGCATCGTTAAAAGGCTGTCGTGCTAAATATTTGCTATTATGTTTGCCAGCGACAGTTCAGCATCGCAGACTATTGGAAACATAATATTCTGCATTGCTCTGCTACGATTGCCGGTTGTCGGAGCCCGCCTGATAACCTTACCTCTTTGTGTGTGTCTAGACTGTCTCTGTCTACTGCCACCCTGAGTAACTGTTGCTATTGTATCATTACCATCCCGATTGCCTGTAATCAACTGACACTGACGATCTGATTGGTTTAGTTGCCGTCGGCCATTCTGATTGGCTGTCACACGGACTCCGCTGTTCTCCTCAGCTGATGGCGATCACTGTTTTGACCTGGACGTGCCGCGCTCGGTACCCCCTTTCCGGGGTTACCTGGATCTCCGCATTGCCAACGCTGCCGGACTCCGCCTCTCAGACGGCTCCAAGGTTCGTATTCTAGATAAATGTCAATAACACGCTAGTATATTTTGGCAATCAGCACATGGGCGTCATCTTTGCCAGCATTGCTGTTCCGGCCATGGCATGCCTCGTCCCTGAGTTCATAACGGTTTTATTTTGGTCACGTGAAAACCCTATGAATAAAAAAGAAAAGCGCATGACTCATGACCCATAAGAAAATAACAATGAAGTTGTCACGCCTCTCGTCCCTGATAGCACGCCTTTTAACAGACATTTTGGCAATGGCTGGTCACAGCATCGTTCGTTTTCAGCTATGTCACAGCGATTCTGTTCAGCTGTGTCGGGTGACTTCAAGCCAGTTGCGTGAAGCATACTTATCATTTGTATCACATTTCATTGATTACATGACAAGTCGGTTATGTTTTACAACATCGTACGTGTATCGCTGTCGCTGCGTCTCATTTGCATGTGTTTCGTGTTCTGTGTTGATCTATGTAGTATGTACTGACGCGGCGTTAGAATAGCCACTCGGAGGATTTCGCGAAGGCTCGCAATAAGTAATAAATGAACTACTCCTCAAACACTGCAAAACGAACCGAATGTTACTCAGCTCAGCGATGTTGTTTTCAGAACCGGGTTATGAAGACAGCACCAAGTGAAAAGACTTTGCCCCCTGCCCTGATCCCCTTCTTCGTAACGCAAACTGATGATGATGAGTGATGCGACCAGTGCCGTTTCCAGACGAAGAAAAAACTTAAAATAATTTGATTGCTACGAAGGAGATTTCGCGCTTTGGAGCTAAATTTATGCAGCTAGATACATCATTGACTGCATTAGGCCACGTCAAGGGCCATCTGTTCCAAGAATCTCACTTTTGCAGGCTGCATTGCCATGATTACGAAACCTTTACGAAACCTTACGAAGCCTTACGAAACCAAAACCCCTTACCGACATGAAATTTAAGTAGTCATGCATCTTGTTTGGCCTTGGCAGGGCGCAGCAGAACGCCCAGCATGTCCGAACAATACAGGCCATAAGCCCTAAATCATGCGCAGTGTCGTTTCCATATTTGGCTTTATTACGCAATGACAAAACTAATCCTCAGCTTCAAAGGAACTGCCGTTACCCACAATGGACGCTTCGCACCAGTCTTATTTGTCCTGCGCTTGCTTGAACTTGAGTCAGGAAACAACAATTACATCCGGAGTGATTTTTAAGGAACCGAAAGTGTGTTCGTTCCCCGCTAAACACCTGCAGACTGCATGCTCGAACGTCTGTCCCATCACTTGTGACAACACGCCGTCAGAAACAAATTTGAGGACCAAAGAATGTTTCTGCATTTTACTGCACAGTTCTCTGTCCAAAAACTTACTCACTGAAAACTATTGCTGGCAAAGGTGGAGTCATCGGCAGTTTTCGATTACACTGGTGGGACCTTTTCAAGTATTCTTAAATGCCTTGGGCTTCATCTTAATGATCACTCACAAGAACACAATTTTTGTATTCCTTCCACTTTGCGAGTTCCACCCTCCCCAAGGTGTCCAGCCAGTAGCATACACAATTGCCATGAGGAACAATAGCACGTGGTGTGTGTCTACATGTGTGCCCTGAGGAACAATAGCACGTGGTGTGTGACTTTATGTGTGCCCGTGGTGGTGCGGCCAATCATATTTCGATATGTTCCTTGCCAAAATAAACTGCACGTACCTTCCACAGAGCAATTAGCTTTTCGTAAAGATCCGGTTGGTGGAGGCGGGTTCATGGATCATTTCATGAGTTCATCCATTTGCAGACACTAATGTTAACCAGACTCAACACTTTAAGCTGCATTGGTCACCGCCGGAGACCAAGCCGTTCGGGAAAAAACACTTCATACTCCCTTGCATCGTGATGTTTCCTTGTCTTTCAGGTGTCCATCAAGGCTTTCACGCTGGTGACACTGGTTCAAACAGACAAGCCCAAGTACCGTCCAGGGGATAAAGTCCTGATCCGTGTCATATCCCTGCGATATGACCTCACACCTCTCATCGAAAACGTGAGCTGTCGAACATCGAGCGCTTTCGCTGCCGAACGCTTTAAGTGGAAGGTTTTTTTCTCTCACGTTGGGCTTCTGGCTATGTCCAGAGATCGTTGCTGAATGGCAGCGATTACTGTTATGGAATACAGACAGATGGTGATGCGGGCCTGCCAAGTCCTACCAAGCGTATTCAATGGTGTTAGGTGCTGATAACATGAAGCTCCATCTAGAGTTTCGTTCAGGTTTCGATGCCTTCTTCGGATTGTACTTGTGCTGACAAGGACCACACTGCAACGGTGAATAGTTCAGTCCTAGCGCTGCTGCTGCGCGGATCTGTATAGCTTAAGTTACGTGCCGGATGTTTTTATTTCTAAACCTGCCATTGCTCCTCAGATTCCGGAGGTGTGGGTGACCACCCCAGACAACATTCGCATTGCCCAGTGGAGAGACATCAAGACCACCGGTGGACTGATTCAGCTGGAGGTGCAGCTGACCGAGGAGCCGCCCCTGGTGAGGTCACATGAAGGCCAGGAGTTTGCCATGCTGCGGCCGTACCCCCCCCCCCCCCCCTCGGTAAAATCAGACTCTGACCGAAGAATCGTCCGTGGTGAAGTCAATCATCCATCTGTTGTCATCCTTCTAAGGCCCATGGGAACATCACTCGAAAAGAGGCGTCACTGATACCGCAAAAGCTGCCCACATCTGGCCGAACACTGCTGAAAGCGTTGCGGTAGCCCATGCCACTGACTTCCAGGGCACCTGGACCATCCATGTGAGGACCTATGAGGGGCAACTGAGGAGCAGTAGTCGGCGCGAAACACATCGTTTCGTTGTGGAGGAGTACGTACTACCCACATTTGAGGTCGATGTCAAACGTCCGACCAGCGTACTCGATGGAGAGAAGACCGTCACCGTCGACGTCTGCGCCAAGTAAGCTCCGATTGGCGAGGGTTCGCGCTCTGTCTCATGACGCAATGTTTCGAAAGAGAGAGTAGATGCGTAGAGAGCATTATTGTGCCATACTAGGTCCGATATGCCATACACTGTGCTCTGTGCCATAAAAGATTGCATAATCAAGCGCTCAAGGCATCTACTGTATATCGGGTCACGGAAGCCACAATTGAAGCAGTTGAAGGTCAAGCAAACCCACCATTCAAAAATTGCTGTCTGTCAACGATCATCCGCGCATAAAAGTCACAGTTCAACATCAAAAGGCAACGATACCTTTTGGCGGCAAATGACAGTATCAAACGAAATAGCACATGAAGTGTGCACGGTGCTGTGTCACAGGTGTTCAGCTGTTGGGTCAAATGTGATTTAACATGCCCTGTGGTGGGGGTGGGGTTAAATCGACCCCCTCCCAAAGTTTTTTTCCGGAATGGTTTCCGAATGGCGTGGCGTAGCCGTAACAAATTTTGCATAGCTGTAGGCAATTGAAAAAATGGATCGTTTGACATAAAGCATTTAGATGTATATTGTAAGGTCGCTGACCTACGGTAAGTTCAAGTCAGGCCACGTTTTCAGCGAAGGCAGTTTCTAGGAAGTCGTCCAATCTGATACAATAACGGGTTGTTTGACGAAAGCATACATCTCTGAGGTGCTTTCTTAGGCCCCACAAGTATTGAATGAGCAAATAACGTTGACCTAAGGTATGGGATAGTTTGTGGTGCTCATTTCGAATTTATTGACAGCAGGAACCGCATTATACATCTTCCACTGACTTCCTAGAAGTCAGAACAGGTCATTGACCTGAGATGACCTGGGTTGACATTTTGTTCTAGGAACATACTGCCTAGCGTAATCTTTGTCGCTTATTCAAATGCAAAAATCAGAGCAATCTTGTATGACATTGGTCACCATGACCTTTAAAAGATCAAACAAGGTCACTGACCTCAAATGAACTTGTGACCTGTTGCCTAGACACAGTTGTCTAGATTCTGGGAACACTTTGGAGACCAACCTGGAATTTGACCTTGTTTGACCTTATTTGACCTGAATGTCATGACCTAGGAAGCTCAAAATTTGACTGAAGTGATTTCACGTACAGGTCAAGGCACCCTGTATATTTGGTATCTCTAGCTTTCGTAGTTGTTGAAATCTCAGCGGGGGGTCAAATTGACCCCCACCCGGGCGAAAGGTGTCTAGCCGGCCACCCGGGTGCGGGTTAAACATTTTAAAATCTTTATAAATGTTTTCAGTTTTGGAAAACTTTCTGAAAACGGCTGCTGAAAACTTTTTTTTATCAAAATGTTTGAAGCTGTACACGATAATCACTTAAAGATCGTCTATTCCTTAAGTGGTGAAACTACTTTGCGCGGTGATGTCACCGTGCCGGTTTTATGACCGGCGACATGAGAAATGCACGCACAACATAGAACATGTTGTATGATGAGCTGCAGCACACCAGCTGTAACGCAAGTTTCTCATGCTGCATCCGCACGGTGGAGACTGTGGTAGCGGACGAACACCACCGTATTGATAATCTAAAATGTGCGACAACTGTAAGACATGTGAGCGTGCACCCACCTTCCACCCGCTGCATTAGTATACAAGCTTTCACTCGCCATGCATGGTCGTTTCCGCAGGTAGGTGTCACAGCGTCAATGTACTATATTTGTCTGTGTGTTAACACGCGCGCGGGTAGCCGGCCAGATACCCCTCGCTCGGGTGGGGGTCAATTTGACACCCCCCTCCTGAGATCGCGGGAACTAAGAAAGCTAGAAACAGCAAATTTACAGGGTGTGTTGACCTGTACGTGAACTCAATTAGGTCAAAGCTTCAGGCTCCTAGGTTGTGACCTTCGGGTCGAAAAAGGTCAAACAAGGTCAAATTACAGGTTGGTTTTCAAAGTGCACGCAGAACCTAGATAGGCGTTTCTAAGCAAAAGGTCATATGCTCATTCAAGGTCAGTAAACTTTTTGACCTTTTTAAGGTCAAGGTGACTAAAATCATGCAATATTGCTTTGAGTTTTGCATTTGACTAAGCGACAAATATTATGCTAAGCAGTATGTTCCTAAGACAAGATGTTGACCTTGGTCATTTTAGGCCAATGACCTATTGTGACCTCTAAGAAGTCCATGGAAGATGTACAATGCGGTTTCTGCTATCAATAAATTCCAAATGAGCACCGGAAACCATCCCATACAGCAAGCCCTAGAGTAAAAAACAGGTTTGTTTTTACCTTGGCGTGACCTTTATACCTGACCTTAGGTCAATGTAATTCGCTCACTCAAAAGTTGTGTTGCCTAAGAAAGTATCTCAGAGATGTATGGCTTCGTCTAACACTCCGTTGTTAGATCAGATTGAAGGATTCCCTAGAAATTGTCTTCGCTGAAACCATGGCCTGACTTTGACCTGCCATACATCAGTGACATTACAAGGTACACCCAAATTTTGTATGTCAAACGAGCTGCTATTGAATTGTCCACAGCTATGCAAAATTTGCCACGCCACGCCGTTCGGAAACCATTCTCGAAAAACCTTCGAGGAGGTCAATTTGACCCTCTCCCCCCCCCCTCCCCCCCACCGATCGCGTGTTCAAGTGAGCAACGTGGACTGATCATGGCTGGTGAATCCAATACACAGCAAAAGGCATAATGAGACGTGCAACGAGGGCGCAAAGATGGACACATGTAATAAAATAACGAGGACGTACAATAACATAACGAGCATATTTATGTGCCTCCTCTAACCTCAGGTCACCCATCGACCCTGCGCCCTCAAAGTACCGAAATGTCCAAAACCTCTCAAAGCCATAGGCTAGATTTGGTGGAGAAATTTGCTCTGAAGTGCATGGGCTGCTTCTGTTGTACCTTTACCATTTGCAATGCAGCCAGGCTGTACCGCAGGATGGGCGCTGGTTTCTTACGTTCCGAGTAAACTCGATTTATATGACCACCATACGGATCCGCGCAGTAATGTTAAGTACTGAAAACTGGAAAATCCCTCCAACCCAATTTACAGTGAGCACGTCTGTGAATCTGGAACACTTCCAAAGAACATGGTTTGATTTGCAGATGGGCTTGCACGATGTCTTTCGCAGCAGCGTGTTCCAATGCTGTGGCAAAGGTTGATGACCGGTTTCGTCGAATGACAGTACGGTTGGCATACGATCTTACATGTTGTGAAACGTTGTCTTCGAATGGTTTCACAACGCAAGATCCCTGAATTAGCACGTCACGAGATGGCGTACACTGACCCTGTCTACCTCAGGTACACCTTCGGCCAGCCACTGATCGAAGCCACTGTGACTGTGAACGTGACTGGAGGATTCGACTTGGAATACGTCAGTGACACTCTCACGGTGAGTCGATCGCAGGCCAGGGCCGTGCCACTCTAAGTGTCAGTGACACTCTCACGTTGAGTCGATCGCAGGCCAGGGCCGTGCCACTCAAGTGTCAGTAACACTTTTACATGGCGTCAGAGTTACGGGATTCAGACCGTGGCGTCTTGGACAGTGTCATGAACACGTCGCCGGGGACAGACAGGAGGTAGCTCTGATTAGCCTGGTCAAGAAACAAATATATAATAACTGGCGCGGTATGCATTGTTGCTGGATGCTGTCCTAGACTTAAAAATGTGTCAACTTGCCTAAGACCCATTCGCACGAAAAAGTACTACACGGAGGAAAACAAGAACACATGAAAACGAACCTTAGGACCTTTTCGTTTTTGGAAAGATGAGAACCACAATAAAATATGTGCCGAAATCTAACGTTCACCGGCCACGGCACTATGGACACATTGCTGCAGATTTCATCCTGTCAACTACCTTGGTTATTATTTTACAGAGGCTTCCCATCGACGGGATTTTTGTGAGAAAAAAACTGGAAACGTTCGGCGCTGACTGCCGCGATTACCGTCCTATGACAACCTATCTCCTCCTCCGTCACGTGTCAAACACGTGTAGAACACGTGTCAAACACGGGACCACCGCACCGGTCAGCATTTTACGCATCAAGCGTGCAGTCCTGTGCGGGTGTTTACATACGAGGCACGTTACCATGTTTCTTCGTTACAGACGGACGAGACGGGCTGCGCCTCCTCGGATCTGATTGTGGATGACCTGTTCCGTGATTTTCGCACTTCACCTGTAAGTAAATCTCGCACAGTTGGGCTACTTTGGGACCGTGATAGTCAAGGAACAAAACCCCGACAAAACTGCGTGGCCCATGACGTGTAGAAGTGCGATTTTCTTTCCTTAATCTGTAGGCTGCATTAAATGATGATAATGACGCTTCTATCATTATATATATATATATATATATATATATATATATATATATACATATATGTATATACATATAGGTGTACTACCATTGACTACTGAAAATATCAGCGGCCACTCGATCTTGCGTATTAAGCGCTTGCCTTCTGAGCTGTGCCAAAGAGCAAACGCAAATCCCATTGCGAGAAAAATCCAAGCGAAGCACGCTCCTGACTCGTTTATTATCTTTCGTCGACTTTTCGTTAATCCTTTAGCATTCTCATGATATATAGCTTGCAGTCGCACTTATCACACAGAATGATGTTGGGTAACACCCAGCATGACTTGTGGTGGATTGATGAAACTATAGGTTAGTTTAATGTACACACTGTAGTTTTGAGGCTAAAGGCAAAACGCCAGCGTAATTCCTTTCATTTTTCATGTACATGAATGACATGCTGGGTATCCCCAGATAATGATTTTAAAGGAAAAAATTACTGATTGAAGGTCATGTCAAACAGCGAAATCGGCTCCCACCAAAGCTCTTATTCAAGTACGCTTTCTTGACATATAAGGTCTTATACTGGGTCACTACTTGGTCCCTTCGTAGAAGGCTAGAGCTCCCCGCGTGGACTTGTCCGCTGATAGCTGGGTACATGTCGCGTATGTACATGTCGCGTATGTATACGGCCTCGAGCGCATCTAGCCGTCGCACGGCATCTGTCTACGCTAGTGCCGGTATCAACCATTATTGTCGCGAGTCGCTGGTCAAAGTGGGATTTCGCATGTGTTTTTGGGCCGCTAGTGGCGGTATCTACCATTTATTGTCTGGTTGTACATGTTTTTGGGCTGCTGTTAATGATGTGCATTGTGATGCGTCCAATGAGTGAGTTGGTCAGTAACCCAACATAGTTACGTACAGTTCGGAGCGGACAGTCTCTGAGAGGGCATTTGTAACTGTATATTACATTGGATTGTTTCAGTAGAGGTATCTCATTAGTAGGGCTGCCTTTCATGAGTACGGAATGCGCATTTCGCTAAAAGAAAATAAACCTCCGATGGTCCCCTGGGGACGCTGGACTACAGCGTCTCATCACGACTGATCAGATAATTTTTTAATCGCCCTTGACGCATCTATCAACTTCCCTGTAAGACGGCTGGCATAGGATAAGACCGGTCAGAAGTTTAGAGGACAACGGCGGCGTTGGTTTGTTTAGCCCGTGTGACATACTTCTCTGGCCATCCAGCAGTTGTCTGGATGGCTGTTGCTCTGGCAACATCTCAGCCTAGCAGCAGTAATCTTAGACGCGCGGTCTGGCACATCTCAAACACAAATACCTTCAGGCCTGAGGTGTCGAACCTGACATTTTGCTATCCTCAGAAACCGTACTGTGCTACGTAAACATGTGTGCATCAACGACGGGCTATTTAGACTACAGCTATCTACAACTAAGTGTTCTGGATGATTTAGATGGAGTGGGCAGTCGTCGGACGCAAACATCGTTGGATTGGACGATGAATTGGATACAGTTTGTAATTGATGTGCATATTTTACATGGCACGGATGCATTTTACTCCGTTCGCTTACTAATTTTTCTGTGATCTGCTCGGCTCAAGGCCACCATTAACGTCACTGTGGAGGAGTTCGGCACGGGTCTCAGCCAATCAGAGACGAGTTCCCTACGCAAAGAGTTCTTCAGTTCCGCCTCAGCCTCCGTTCCAGACAACGCACAGCTGTTCATCAAGCCCGGCCTGCCCTACTACGGCCGGGTCAGTTCGTGTTTGTGTGTTTGTACGGAGCGCGCTGACGAAGAACAGGAGTCTTGCTGCCACGGCCTCGGTTGACTGGTGTTCATGGCTGGCTGGCGTCGTGTTGGTTGGCGTGAGCGTAGTGCAGATGTTTGTCCTTGGAATGGGTCATGCCGAGTTGCTCAGACGAGCAGTAATTTGTGTTGCCTGGCTGTCTGGTTCGGAGAAGCCAGGACTCATGTGGCTTGTATTTCGGCGGCGTAAGCAATGATTGCATATGTATATGGCAATGTATGCACATGACCTTTCGCAGTTTACATTAAATCGAGTTGTGAAAGGAGTTCTGATTATCACAAGTGCATCTTGGGAAGATGAAGTTGGTTACGGTGCATGACCCATCTCCACGATGTACGTAAAAACACCATGCTCTGCTAACTACATGGGATAGATGGCATTCCCTCGTGGTGGAATAATAGCTCAACGAGCTTTTCGTAACCGTTTTTATTTAATACGTCACGTGATATATCTCAGAACACGGCATGCCAGCACGTAGCATCCATCCAGCATTGCAATGATACCTATTAAGTATGTTCGCACTCTTCCAGCTCCACATCAAGGACCGTGATGGTTCGTCCTTTCGCAAATAAGATCGTGGAGGTCTGCTTCAGGGCCATCTATAAGCCGAAAACATCCATGTAAGGGTGGTATTCGTCGCTTTTTCAGCATCCAGCTTGCGGGCGGCTGTCTGGTTTCAGTCAATTTTAGCTGCTTGCTCATGTGAAGCCTGTGTTTGTTCAGTCCGTTACAGGACGTTGTTTGTGATGCAGCTGTTAAGCTTGGTTTGATTTGCTATAGTTTGTTGTAACCACTATGGTTTTATTTTATAATTTTCGTGTTACGCTATATTTTGTTGTGTGTGTGTGATGCAATAGCTGACTGTCATTTTGTGTAACGTCTCATGGCTTTCTCATTCACTGTTGTAATTTCATCAAAATTGTAATTTTGACTTATATACGGACCCAAATGTATTACTATTAAAATCACGCATGAGTTTGAATGCAGCATTACACTGGCACGGAATAACCGGACAATGATAGCGATGGCACCGATGACACCGATCGTCGGAACCACCGCAATGTTGCGTGGAACGATGGCACGGGGCCGTGGGGCGACAGCAAGGAAACACTGAATGACGTCACAGGGCCAACCGCGGGTCACGGTACGAGGCCACGAAACGGTAGCACGGACTCATAGGACAGCGACGACGACGAAGGACTCGTGGGACTCACGGACTCACGGGACCACATAGCGATGACACGGGGCTACGAGACCATGGCACGGGACCACGGGACCATTACACAGGAACATGACACGGCACTACGGAACCATGGTACACAACATATAAGCGATAGCATTGGACCACGGGACCTCCTTCCGTGGCACGGGACCACGGAGTCGGGCTGCTTCATGACGATACATGGTGTACCTCACGTCTTAATACGTCACGAAGATATTTAGGACATTTTCCGTGTGTTTCACGCTACATGACACTCCATTTCAGACCGAGCGGGGAGGATCCCACGAAGACCCCAGACGATGATCTGTTTGACGCCTACAAAAACGTATGGCCGCTCGAAAAAGTGTCGTGTGCCTGTTGAGGATACAGAGATGTTCTGTTTTGCCTTTCACTGCGGTAGACGATGTATGCTGCCAAATGACGCATTACTCTCTCAGCGCTCTCAGTTCCAATTGAGATACACATGACTGCGGGAGCTTTCGGTTCAGATGCCAATTGATTAGATTGATTTGGACATCCTAGACCCACCCTCCACTGTCCTTAACTAAGCTGATGTGACCTGACCCAGTCTAAATTGACCTGATTCCATCTGTCTTAGTCAGCTGCTCCGCAGGGCCCTGACAGCGCCCCATATCCTCCTCCTACGCTCACCAGTTTTATCTTGCCCTGACCTACACCGCCACGCCGTGTTCTGCTCGCAACCAACTCGGCTTTGTTCTGCCCTACTCCGAAATTTCCTCCGTTGCCTTACTCAGCCTCGACCAGACCTGACCTGCATCATGTCCTTTTCCCTACCTTGGTGTTTTCTGTCTGGCGCTTCCCTACCCCCACTCTGACACATCCGAACGTGCCTGATCTGACCTGACCTGCTTAGGACCTCGACGCGGCCTGAGACCCATCTTACCCTACTCTACACTATGTTCTGTCCTGCTCTGTCCTGGTTTGCGTTGCGATGTGTCACGATGCTGCTGTGCAATCGCTGTTCGTCTTTGACACGCCCTGCCCCTACCTGAACTGACTTGACTTGACTCAACCTGACGTAAACTGAATTGACCCACCTTGCCAAGGCCTGACTGGACCTGACCTGTCCTGCCGAGCAGCACTCGGAGCGCGTGCAGGCCGAGTTCGGCTACACGCCGCTGATCTGGGAGACGGAGACTCCGCCGCGGCTCTCGACGGCCGAACAGTGCCGCTTCTTCACCGCCGACAGCCAGGGTCGCGTCGTCTACCTTATCCCGCCGCAAGCGCCCATCGTGGACAGTGTCGATGTCAGGGTCAGTCAAGTGTGACGTCATACCCATCGTGGCTGTCTCATGTCACCGTGGGACGTCACGGTCGGCATGATATGTCACGGTCAGTACGTGACTTTGGGGTGTCATGTTAACGTCACTAGAGTGACATGCTTGTGATGGTGTCATGGCGAGTGTGTGATGTCAGAACCAGTCTGTTAGGGCCGGAACTAGTTTCGTGACGTCATGACCGGTGGCTTCCATCAGCGTCAGCGCGTTGCTGCAGGGGTTCATAGTTTTCTAACGGCGCGTTAGAGTAATGACGTCAGGGTGGTGACGTCAGCATCAAGCCTATCGCGGTGACGACATGGTCGCTCCTGCAATGTCTACATCAAGTAGGAGACGTCAGAGAGGGGATGACCGAACAACAGGGTTAGGCTGGTGATGTCCGACGCAGTGTGTAAAGTTGGTGACAGTGAGTGGCCCCAGGATCGATCTGGAGACCGCCAGCTGGTGTGGTGACGTCAGCGTCAGCACGCTGACGTCAGAATCACCATGGTGACGTCATGGTACGAATGAATTGTCAAGGGCGCTGTATGGTTCCGATGCCAGTGTGTGATCATGGTCAGCGTTGGGATGTGAAGGTATTCGCGTTATCGGTATTGCTATAATATATATATATATATATATATATATATATATATATATATATATGATATATATGACGGTGCCATGGTTAGTCTGAAGGTGTTCGAGTCTTTGTGTGACCGTTGGCAGGCGGGCTGATGATATTTTGTTGACGTCAAAACCACTGTGGTGGAGTCAGAGCCAGTGTGGTGATGTCAAAGTCCATGTTTCCGTCCGAGTCAATGTGGTGACGTCAGAGCCATTGCACGGACGTCTGGATAAGTTTATAAGATTAGTTATAATGGTATGATTTGTATGATTTAAAATGACGTCGGGTTTGTGGCATGCTGTCGTAGCTAGAAGTATGACGCCAGCGTTGGTGTGATGATGCCAGGGCCCGTAGGGTAACTTCCATTTCTCCTTGATGACGTCCATTGGCTGTGCGTCACGACTTAGCTTAACAGGGACGCAGTGCGCGTGACGTCACGGAGCAGTGAGTGGTAACAATGGCGCGTGGTGCGTCCGCCAGCTGACCTCGGGATACGGTGGCGAAGGCCTGTTCCGGAGTCTCGTGACCTTTTTCTCCCCCTCCAACTCCTACCTCACCATTGACGTTCACCTGCTGCCCGACGAGCTGCCATGCCGAGGGGACGTCACCGTCCAGCTGCTGACGTCACTGGAGAAGGACGTGCCGCCAATGGTGTACCAGGTACGACCCTGGCGTCATGGGCATTCGTTACGATGCACCGAGCAAAAAGCCTCTCAAACGCGAAGCGTCTTAAATTAGGGGACTCCCCTAGGATGCTGCCCTCACTGACGCAGGAACCAGTTCCCATGCCAAATAGCCTAGTGCCCGGTCATGATCTTCCCACAGTCTTGTTGCATACGTTACGCACGTGGCAGTGCCTTAAAGTATACACACTTCCTGTGAAACTTGCTTAAAACGAGTCAGGGACCGCGGTTACGCGACGTCATCTTCACCACCCCCGTGTTGGGCAGGTGATGTCGCGCAGCGAGATCCTGCGATCAGGCCGGGTGTCCAGCTCGAGCCTGACACTGTCGGTGACGTCGGCCATGAGCCCGCAGTTCAAGCTGCTGGTGTTCTTCGTGCTGGACTCGGGCGAGGTGGTGAGCGACGCGGTCGTCCTCAAGGTGGAGCAGTGCTTCAACAACCAGGTGCGACGGCGTGCTGATGAGGTTCACTAAAAACGAGCAAAATATGAGATGCAGTAATTGTGTCGAATGACTGGCATATTCCAACACTCCGGTCTTCTGAAAGGGTTGAGCAATAAGGCTTATAACTTCGCATAACTTTAATGCCACCACCTGCAGGTCGAAGCTTCAGTAGTTCCAAATGTCTACAGATGAGATGAACCCAAGTCTTGCAAACGACAGTTATGGTGGGTGACATGTGCGTCTCGTCATGGTGTCCCACACGTCCATGCGACTGTGCTTCGGTCATCAAGATGTCCTTGGATCCAGCCCGGGAAAAGGCACGTGATAGCCCAAATTTGACCTCACGTCACGAACAATATGGCTCCAAACGTTTAAATGAAACACCATCGATCGATACTGCCGTTGTTGGATGTTGTTCTCGAGATTGCTATCTATTTATTTTGGCGCATTACTTAGCCAGCAGCACCCAACGCTTCAAGTGGAGAGCAAATGCAGCTAAACTGCGGACCGAGGAGGGAGGCAAGCCCGGAGATCTCTGTTCAAAGCCACCGTGTGATCCACCCGGCTACTTACATCCTGCTGTTGTCAGGTGGATGTCAGCTGGGATAAGGAGACGGCCCAGCCCGGGGAGTCCGCCTCCTTCACTGTCAGCGCCTCGCCCGACTCCGTATGTGGCGTCAGTGAGTACGCCTCCCCCTTGTCGTGTGCTGGGGTCGTTGACCTCCCGTCAGTGTCACCTGTGACAGGCGTACACGACGAAAAACTGTTAGCAGGTATTACTAGCGGGTAGCCAGCTGCTACTCAGTGGAGCTGAGCTGTGTTACTCTGTCCACTCTGTTATGAATTTATTGTTTTGATCGCCCCGCCGGACGCACGATAACCAAAATGTCTTCCTTGTCATCTCCTGAGCGGTGGTTTTCGCCGAGTATTCGCCAGGTGCCACTGGCCTCCAAGACTGGCAGTGCTTCTGGCGCTGCCCCAAATGTACACGGAATGTTCGCAACGTATCGCTCTCACTAGATGTTCGCAAGCGACTTCAGTAGACGGCCACTGACTCCCTCGCGACGTGTGCTGTTGCTTTCAGCAACGCACAAGCTCTCCAAACGATACCATACAAATTATGATATATTTGTTGGAGCTGTCAGCCCTTGAAGCTATTCGATGATCATCGATTGTTGGATATATATACCCGTCCTCCCTCGCCATGCCATAGTGTTACTAAAGCACTTGTTTTCCACGCGCGGGTACATGGGTGAAAGAGGCGATGTGATAATTATGCAAGAGGTTACACTAGCTTCCTCCTAAAACTACGTAATGCCAACGCCTTCACACAAAGCCGCTCATTCGGACTATTCCATCACATCTGCTGCACTCAGCATTCTCCTGTTATGCTCATCTGCCGTGGAGCGGGTCGGAGCACGATGGAGCACGAATGATGGTGTGCTCCGTCGGTTGAGGACGGTGTGCTCCTGAGCACCGAGCACGACTGACAGTGTGCTCCCGTCTGCAGGCGCCGTCGACCGGAGCACAGAGCTGCTGGGAACCGGTAACCAGATCACCGTGGAGGGCGTGTTCAGCCAGTTGAGGCAGTTCATCTCCCAGGGCTTCCATAGGCTATCACAGGTCACCTTCCCGGTGGAGAGGGGGAGAGGAAGCGGTCGTTGGTGCCGCCTTCGACGGACGGGAAGGCAGGGAAACAAACCTTGGGGCACACCGTCAGCCGTTTTCCACCGACGGAGCACACCATCGACGGCCTTCGGTGTTGTCTGCTACCGTTTCGGTGATGCGAAGCATTATCTTAAAGCACCGTCAGCCCCTTTTAGACACGACAGTAAAACATCAGTTTCAAATGCGACCTTACATTCGTTACTCATCTTCCACTTCCCACACACCCGAGTGAGCCGTGTTGAACCTCCATGCTCTTATGATGTTGAGATCTTCTGCAGCGCCGTGGAATACGTCATGATCGAGTGGACTTGACGTTTCGTCTGGTGTTCCGTGTCATGATAGGCTCACTGACAACCGTAAACGATGTTGGCCATTTCAGGCGACCGCACAGGACTACTGCCGTAACCAGCAGAGGAGTCTGATTCACATCCTGCAACGGTAAGTTTGTCTTGAGACGCGGGAGAGGGTACTATTAGCCTGTCGTCTTTTCCTAATGAATCCGCATAACCGTTAGAGCTTGATGTGTCGGTACGTTGGTGAGCAGGCACACCAAGTCAAAGCTGACAATCTGTGTGTCAAGTGATTGGCGCATGTCCTTTACCGAGCAGACCAAGTAGAGATGATTTCTTCATGTGGAGTGGTGACTTTCCACTTCGCTGATGATGTTGGCCAGGAATTGGATCAACATCTGGAAAGCTGAACCGGCAGCTGACGATGACTTTCGGGGTAACAGTGTACATGTGCACCTATCACAGTTCGTAAATGTGTAGCAGTTTGCGGCAATGCTTGTTTCGATGTTTGTTTTCATCATTTCTCAGGTTTGCTGTAGTTTTTTAAGTTTTTAAGGAGCTTGGTCAAGACATTTTCTTCCGTTTCCTGTGTATCGCTCAATAAGCTTTTTAGCTTGCGCGTGTGCATACCTTGTTCTACCGTAGTACTCTTCTCATGCATGCCTTTGTTCTCCCGTAGCATTGTGTATGTCAGCTAGAAGCATGATAACGCTTGCATCAATCGTGGACTTATTTATGGTGGCTTGCTCCTCGTTCATCACCTACGGCCCTGGTGGTCTCAGTCTTTCCAATGTTTGTAAGGTCTCGTAGAGTAACCCTCTCAGTTCCGTAGTGTGCGTAACACGTCTCCCCCCCCCGATGTCCA